CATCATCAATGTGATGACAAGGTATTCTGGCCTTGTAGAATGAATTTGGAAGTATTCCTTTTTTTGGGGGGGGATAGTTTGAGAAGGATGCATATAAACTCTTTTTAAATGTTTGGTAGAATTCACCTGTGAAACCATTTGGTCTTGGGCTTTTGTTTGTTGGGAGTTTTTATGATTACTGAGATTAACTTTTGTAATTAAGTAATGGGTCTGTTCAAATTTTCTGTTTCTTATTTAGTCTTGGAGACTGTACATTTCTGAATTTATCTATTTATCTAGGTTTTTCAGTTTGTTGGCATATAATTTTGTGTAGTATTCTCTTATAAGCCTTTGTATTTCTGTGTTATCTGTTGTAACTTCTCTTTCAATTCTGATTGTATTTATTTGAGTCCTCCTGCTTTTTTATTCTTAACGAGTCTGGCTAAACATTTATCAGTGTTGTTTATCTTTTCAGAGAACTGGCTCTTAGTTTCATTTAATCTTATTTTTAGTTTTTATATCATTTATTTCCATTCTGATCTTTATCATTTTCTTTTTCTATTAACATTGGGCTTTGTTTATTCTTATATTTCTAGTTCCTTTAGGTGTAGTTAGATTGCTTACTTGAGATTTTTTCTTATTTCTTGAAGTAGACCTGTATCACTACAAACTACCTTTTTATAACTGCTTTTGGTTTTGAGTTACAGATTTTTAATTGTTGTGTTTATATTTTCATTTGTTTTCATATTTTTTTTAGTTTCCTTTTTGATTTCATCATTAATCCTTTGGTTGTTTAGTAGCATGTTGTTTAGCCTCTGTGTTTGCATTTTCACCAGTTTTCATGTTGTAATTTTTTTCTAGTTTTATACCACTGTGGTTGGTAAGGATGCCTGAAATGGTTTGTCTTCTTAAATTTATTGAGACTTGTTTTGTAACCTAACATGTGATCTGTCCTGAAGAATGTTCCATGTGCACTTGAAAAGAATATTTACTCTGCTGTTTCTGAGTGGAATGTCCTATGTATATTTTTTTTTATTATATTTTAGTCAATATACAGTGAAGTATTGATTTCAGAAGTAGAGTTTAGTGACTTATCACTTTCATACAACACCCAGTGCTCATCACAAGTGGCCTTCTTAATGCCTATGTTTATATCTGTTAAGTACATCTTCTGTAACATGTTGTTTAAGGCCCATGTGTCTTATTGATCTTGTGTCTGGATGATGTATCCATTGATTTATGTGGGATATTAAAGTCCCTTACTATTATTTATTACTGTCAATGTACTACTCTCAATTTATTACTGTCAATTTCTCCCTTATGTCTTAATGTTTGCTTCTTACAGTTAGGTATCCGTATGTGGGTGCAGCGATATTTAAAAGTGTTATATCCTCTTGTTGAATTGATCCTTTTATCATTATGTAATGTTTTTTTCTTTGTCCCTTGTTACTTTTTTTTGTTTTAAGGTTTTGTCTAAGATAAGTATTGGTGCTCCAGCTTTCTTTTTATTTCCATTTTCATAGCATATCTTTTTCCATGCCTTCACTTTTTGTGTATCCTTAGATCTGAGGTGGGTCTCTTGTAGGCAGCACATAGATAGGTCTTTTTAAAAATCCATTCACCACCACCCCCTTGCCGATTGGAATATTTAGTTCTTTTAATTTGATGTAATTATTGATAGATAGGCACCTATGCCATTTTGTTCATTATTTTCTGTTTGTTGTTTGTAGGTTTTTTTATAGTTTTTTGGCGTTCCTTCTTTTGCTCTCTTCCTTTATGATTTGATGACATTTCCTAGTATTAAGTTCATATTCCTTTTTCTTTCATTTTTGTACACCTATTATAGATACTTGGTTTGCGGTTTCCTTGAGGTTCATATCTTTGGTATATAGTAGTTTGTTTTAAGTTAATGGTAGCTTAAGTTCAAGGATTTACTAAAAGCACTGCATTTTAACTGCCCCCTCCTGACATATTTTATGTTCTTGACATCACGTTTTGCACATTATTATTTTGTGTATCCTTTGACCAAGTATGTAGTCCTAGGTGATTTACTAGTTTTGTCTTTTAACCTGCATTCAACAACCTACATAGATACATTCTAGCTATGTAAGTTTTTGATCTACTTCCTTTACGGTATGTTTACCATTACCAATGATATTTTTTTTCTTTCATAGGTTTTAATTTCTAGTTAGGGCCTTTTCTTTTCTGTTTAAAGAGGTTCCTATAACATTTCTTATAAGGCTGGTTTGGTTTTGATGAATTCCTTTAGCTTTTCCTAATCTGGGAAACTTCTTATCTCTCCATTAATTCAGAATGATAATATTGCTGGGTATAGAGTATTCTTGGTTGTAATTTTTTTTTTTTTCCTTTCAGCACTTTGAATATATCATGTTACTCCCTTCTTTAAAGTTTCTGTTATAAAATCAGCTCCTGGGGTGCTTGGATGGCTCAGTTGATTTGAGTGTCCGATTCTTGATTTTGTCTCAGGGTTGTGGGATCCAGCCCCACTTTGGGCTCTGAGCTGAGGGAGGAGCCCTGGAGCCTGCTTATGATTCTCTCTGTCTCTCTTTTTGTCTCCCTTCATTCCTCCCTCCCTCCCCCTCCCCCTATATTCCCCAGCTTGTGCTTGTTCTCTCTCAAATAAAAAAAATTAATTAAAAAATTAATAGAATCAGCTGACAGTCTTGAGGGGGTTCTCTTGCCACTTTTAAGATTCTCTATTTAATTCTTGACACTAGTTGTAATGTATCTTGACATGGGTCTCTTTGGGTTCATGTTATTTTGGGATTTCTGTTCCTGGGCTGGAAGTCTTTTTCCTTCACCAGGTTAGGGAAGTTTTCAGGCATTATTTCTTCAAATAGATTTTCTGTCCCTTTTGCTCTTCTTTTTTTCCTCCTTCTGGGGCCCCTACTATGCAAGTGATCGTTTACTTGATGTTGTCCCAGTTGCCCCCTAACCTATGCTCATTTTTAAATCACTTTTCCTTTTTGCTGTTCTGATTGGGTGATTTCCCTGGTCCTCCATTCTACATTGATCCATTCTTCTGCATCATTTAATATGTTGATTCCTTCTAGTACTTTTTATTTCAGTTATTGTATTACTCAGCTCTAATCAATTCTTTTTTATATTTTCTATCTCTTTATTGAATATATCTGGATACTTCCACATTGGGGGCATAAATAATTACAGTTGTTAGATCTTGTTGGATTGTCCCCTTTATTATGATATAGTGCCCCTCTTCATGTCTTGTTATAGTCTTTGTCTTCAAGTCTAGTTTGTCTAATGTAAGTATTGGTACTCCAGCTTTCTTTTGACGTCTGTTTGTGTGATAAATGTTTCTCCATCCCCTTACTTTCCATCTGCAGGTATCTTTAAGTCCAAAGTGAGTCTCTTGTAGGCAGTATAATGATGGGTCTTACATTTTTATCCGTTCTGACACCCTGTGTTTTTAGATTGGAGTGTTTACTCCATTTCCATTGAAAGTAATTACTGATCGATATGTATTTATTGCCATTTGATTACTTTTTTGTTGTGGTTTCTGGAGATTTTCTCAGATCCTTTCGTGTCTTTGTCATTTTTGGTCTTTGCTTTCCACTCTAAGAGTCCCCTTTAATATTTCTTGCAAAAAGCTAGTTTAGTGATATGATCACTACTTTGAACTCTTTATGTGGTGGATTGCTTCTCTCTCTTTCCTTTAGTTCTTTTTCTGAGATATTTTTGTTGTTGTTCTTTCATTAGGAATATATTCCTCTGTCTCCTTATTTTGACTAACTCTCTGTTTCTGTGTATTATGTCAGTTACATCTCCCAGTCTTAAAGGATATTAGTTTTGCATATTAGATCATCCTCAAAGCCCGGAGGAGTGGGTATTAGAGATGTGAAGAAGTGGGAAAGGAAGCTTATTAGGAGACATTTTAGTGACCTTAAGAAAGAAGCATTGTAAAGACTTGAAATTAGACAATGTCAGAATGAAGAGGAGGCAGAGTATATATATATCCAAGAATGGGAATCAACAGAATTCATGTGGCAGTAATGTGGTTTGGGTGGAGGCAGAAAGCAGGGCCAAAATTAATTAAATTTATTTAATTAATTAATCTAAAATTAATTAATCCCATATTTCTGGTGAGATCAGTGGAGGATTTTAGTACTAGTCTGACATGAAGAAAGAGAAAGATTCAAGATAATAGTGACACAGTAAGATGAGAGTGTCCAAAAATTAATATTAATTAGTATTATTGTTTGCTATTTAGTTATTAATATTACATTCATTGAGTCTTGAGGTAGGTACTATTATTTTCCTCATTTTGCCACTAAGGAAATTCAGGGCCAAAGAAGATTGATAACTTGTCCAAGGTCACAAAGGAAATAAATGTGGAGTGAAAAGTTGAGGTTGGGTGGTGCTTACATTTTCCACTCTCTTGACTATTTCATGCTCTTTTCAATCACATGGAGATCTGATTTGTGAGATAAAATTATAATCTGGAAATGGGATTTGAGAAATGAGGGATGAAACCACTTGCCTGAATGACAGGTCTCTGCAGAGTCCTTGGAGTTCATGTAAGTGCACTAAGGTTCACAGGAGGAAATGAGCTTGCGTAGGAATTGAGTAACCAGAAAGATAGGAAGAAAATCCAGGAATAATTATATTATAAAAACCAAAATGAATTTTTTTCCTTTGTAAGAAGTGAAATCATCAACAGTTCTAAAATCTTGAAAAAAGTAGCCATAAAATCTAGTCACCCATGATGCTTGCCAGAATGGTTTCATTTCACTTATTGAGAAACAAAATAAAATGGGTCAGAAAATGAAGGGAGGTAAGAGCATGAATTCAGAGAACTTTCCTACACTTCATGGGGAGCTGTCACTGTACAGGTAAGAGAGGTCAAATGGAAGGTAGTGGTAGATGGATAGTTTTTCTTCTCATCGATGAGACGAGATCACATTTATTTGAATTTAAGGATAATCTATCTAGAAGTCTGAACTTAAAAAAATTATAATTTGAAATGCTTTTAAACTTTACAGAACATTATACATCCATGGGCATACCAAGTTGGATTTCACAGTCTGGCATACTGCAATTGAAAAAGCAGCAGGTACAGATGGTAATGCATTACAAGATCAGCAGCTCAGCAAAAATGACGTTCCCATTATTGTGAACAGCTGTATAGCATTTGTTACACAGTATGGTAAGTATTGCAGAGTTTTTATTCAACCCCCAGAACTCATAATATCATTCTTAGAGTTTTTTAAGTGGTTCCTCCATTGGACTGCATTAGAGCTCTTTATATTTGTAAGTACATCAGTGAAAAATAAAAATGTAGTTACCGTTCAGCCAAATGCCATTCCTTTTCCCAATAAAATTTAAATTACACAATGTACTTTTACATTTTCTTCTTCTTTTACATGAATAAAAAAATTAAATGCCATATTGAAAGAATCTATGTTGCAAAATGTGTATTAAAAATAGGTTGAAGACTATATTTTTCAGGGGTTACAGGAGGTTACAGTAACGTCTAACAGAGTGCAGTGGGTTGCCTAAACATGTTTCGGCAATGATAAACTGTGGGACAGTATGTAAAAGAATTTTTTTGTTGACATGAGTTCAAAGTGTGTATGTGTATTTATTTCTTTCAACATGCTATTATTCACATGTTTATATTAAGAATCATGGTTATTGTAATAGTTTTTACTTAATTTTAACAGTTTTATGAATAATTTGCAAATAAAAAACAATTGGTTGACGTACACATGGGCTAGTTTCATTTTAAAATAATATGCTATAATAGTAAAGTATTCCTTGATTCTTCATGTTTATTTTCAAATTTGAATTCCTCAGATTCCTTCTGTTACATAACTCTTCAGTACTCTAAAAGGTAGAAAATTGAAAACTATACTTTAAATTTAAAAATGTTTTCTACCTTTAAATCTGTAGGTAAGTGTCATTGATTTAGATTACAAACATGGAAAAGAGTAAAATGATTGATCTTGTATTTGGGAAGGTAATTAACCTTTTTTTTCCTTCTTGTTCTCTTAATGTTAGAAGTGTCCTTGGGTGTTTTTAATTTGAAAAGAAGGTGTAATCAGAGAGCTGCAGTAAAACATTGTGTTATTAGTTCGTTACTTATTTATTGTCTGTGGTGTGCCAGCCGTTGATCTTGGTACTGGAAATACAGCAGTGGGAGTACAAAATAAAGACAAAACCATGAATCATAGGTTTCACTAGTGAGTACTGACAACAAACTGCTATGAGCCAAATGTTAGAAATAACAAAGGCTATGAAGAAAATAATTTTTAGAAATTAAATTTATAATATGTATAAATCTGTTTCCTTCAGGGGAGAGTGCCATTTTAAGTATGTTGCTTATTTCATGTTTAATTCAAGTTTAATTATTAGTATTCAGATTCACTGAGTTTGAACTATGTATCTTTGAATTATATACTGTAAATACGCAGTCACATTATGTGGCGGTTACTCTGTGTAACTCATGATAGTATGTCTGTATTTTTCTTATCAAGGTAATCATCTGCTTATTTGAAAATGGTAGAGGAAGGTTATCATCTTCATTTATTAGTCATTCAGTATTAGCACACTTGAATTTCATTGGTTTAAATGAATTGCACACGTATTATGTTTTAGCAAGAGCATAACCTCATTGGGAATTTTCACATCATGTTAGTTTCCTAATAGCATAGGGTCTTTCTTAAGCTGAGAAATGATTAAAATAACTCTGCTAGCTCCGGTGTATTCAATTTAAGGATTCTCTAGGGAAATCAGAAATTTCTTTGTGGTGTTTCTTTGAATTTAAAATCATTAAGCATTAGATTGTTTTCAGCTAAATTTCATACATTAAAACTACTTTGTAACTGTGGCACAAGGTATATTAACTTGCATATTAAAGTAATAAAGCCAGTGAAAGACTTTGTTTTGTTTTGTTTTTAATGAGCAGAATAGGGGAAAACCCTGATGTTACCAGCATGTATAGTAGGGAGGATATAATACACACTTAGAAAATGCTCAGTGATTAATAGAATGAAGATGGCTGACTCAGAGCCTTTACAAGTCACAATTATTTTGAACTTCCTGACCTTTGTATTAAAATCAGAAGGCTAATTTTAATGTTCATGGTGTTAAGATTTGAACTTGACCAAGTTCACTGTCAGATTTTTAGAGTTTTAACTTATTTTAATGAGTTATAATAGTTAGTTCTTGGGAATTATTTTAATTTATGTCAACAAAATTATGCATGCAATTAATTATTTGAGTAGTAGCTTTTAGAAATTCATTCAACTAGGAATATAACTTAAGATCATAAAATTAGTCACAGGTTTTTTTTTTGTAGATATTGCTTATTCTTGCATTAAATGATCATTTATCAAGTGCTTCCTAAGTTCTAGTCATGGCAGGGTTACTGTACACAGAGAGCAAGACGTGATCCTTACTTTCTAGCTTTTTACAGATTTGTGAATCAAAGATGTTTAAACAGCTAGGCAGTTACATCTCAGGTGTACAAAATTCTGTGGTAGAGAGGTTCAGGAATTCGTACAAGAGAGCTTCATGAGTGAGATGTGCTTACCATAAGTCTTAAGAGAAAATAGGAGGTAGTTAGGAGAAGAAGGGAATTGGGATTCTTGGAGGAGGATCAGTGTGTGCTCACGTATGGAGTCATGAAGGAGGTTGTCTATTGAGGGCCCTTTTGTAGTTCAATGTGGCCAGAGCTTAGCATGAGAAGAACAGTAGATAAGAGGCAGGAGGGTTATGCCTATTTGTGTAGAATATTAAATATTGTAATAAATCCTCAAACTTGTCCTCTGGGCAGTGGGAGGGCAGTATCCAGATTTTTAAGCATGTTGATGACCCCAACAGATCTGTATCTCAGATCAAGCTGTTATCAATGTTGAGAAGGACTGGAAGGCTACAGGAGAATAGGGGCAGGGAGTTGTGACAGTGGAGTGAGGAATTGAGGGTAAAAAATAACAGCACATGGTATAGAAAGAAGGGTACAGTTTCAGAGTAAGGTTATGATGCAAATATATGTGGCTTTTTAATATTGTAAGCGAGAAAGCAAAGTTCTGACTTACAAAGGACTGAGGAGAAGAAGTGCCATGTATTGAGATACAGGGACAAGATAAAGAGCATACTGAGATTGGCAGGTGAGATAGTGAATGGGGCAGGAGATTTAATTCCTTAGATTATTTTGAATTCTTCATGAGAATGGTATGAGCAAGTGTTGAATGTATATTTATAAAGTATCTGTATATTAAAGTGTATTATGTGTGTTTGACATCTTAGAAATGAAAACCTGGGTGAGAATGTGTATGTAGTCGTTTAACGACTGGATGGGTGCACCCAGAGAATTTTGTAGGGGAGTAGGGAAGAGAAGAGAATTGAGGAAGGGTTTATGGAATCCTTAGTAATACTAGATGGTAGAATAAAGAGAGGACTGGAAGAGTAGTCATAGAGGAATGGGGGGAAAGATAGGAGATTATAATGTCATGAAAGTTTGGACATTAAAAGAATTTTAGCAGGGATTCGTTTGGAGTGTCATACACTGCAGAGGATTCTCATTAGATAAAAACAGAAAAGCACCTAGAAAATGGGCTGTCATTCATATTCTTGATGAAGATGATCCCAAAAGATACATAGAAGAAGGTTTAGGGTTGAAGGATGAACAGAGGCATGAGATGGTAGGAAGAATAAATATAGGCAAGTCACCTGGGGTTTGGAAGGAAGTGAGACCAGAGACCTGGGAGGGGCAAGGGAGTACTTAAAAATTTTGTTTGTATCATCATCCTCACTCCTCTTCACTCCTTATTCTCTTTCTTATATGGAGCACTTGATGAATCAGTAACTTTGATAAGGAGATGATTCAGCTCTTTACCCAGAAGAAGGTGAAAGTGGGAACAGACAGAAATTAATATATAAATATGAGGGCAAAGGGTTAAGAAAATTTATACTAGAGCGCCTCACTTTAATCAGTGGAACTGGAGACAGGCTTGAATTCTGGAAGGCAAAGTAGACATAGGACACCTGTGGTAAAAGAACATTTGAAGAAACCATGAAGAACTGGGGTAAGAGTTGGCCAGGGGCTTGCTAAAAGCTTGCTAATAGCTGAAAAGTTTGATCACCATTTTAAGAACTAAACTTAGCGGGTGGGGGAACCTTTTTCTCCTCATGCATGTTTATATCAACTCTTGGAGAATGCTTTTGTCTGGCTCAATGTCCCAACACGAAAGTCTCTATTTCTAAGGTATAAATGTAGATTTTTATTTTAGACTTTTTATAATGTAACTTTTTTTTTTAAACAAAGGTTTAGGATGCAAATATATCTATCAAAAGAATGGTGATCCTTTGCATATAAGTGAACTCCTGGAGAGTTTCAAAAAGGATGCAAGAAGCTTTAAATTGAGGGCTGGAAAACATCAGCTTGAAGATGTGACAGGAGTATTGAAAAACTTTCTCTCTGACATTGATGATGCACTCCTTACTAAGGAGCTCTATCCATATTGGATCTCCGCTTTAGGTAATACATATAATATAGCACATAATAACTGCTTACCTTCTCATCTGATAATTATATTTCTAAAATATTTGGTAATCTGCAAATTTAATTGAAAGGAACAGTGTACCTAATGGTTTAGAACAGAAATTGTGTAGATATCAATAGCTGTTTATATCTACCTCAAAAGAAATTTATAGTAATAATTGCTAAATAGTGTGTTAAAGTAATTCTTGGTTTTCAGATTTCTTAATGTTTACTTTGCTTTAACCTTGAAAGTGTTATGGTTAAGTCTGTGTATGCTATTACTTTCTCTTTAAGATTAAAATGAAAGGTTTAATGTAAGATTGGTTTTATATGGTTTCCCTATCTGGCTCTTTACCTTTATCATTCATTTTACCTCTGTAGGGTACATAACAATATATTCTTTAAACTCTTTCTCTCTTCATTTTCCCTTCGTTAAAAAAAGAAAAGGCTTTGCTACACCGTAAGAACCTATTTAAGAAAGGACTCCAGAAAAGTAGTTTACTAAATCACTTGTTGGGTCAAATTGATTCAGTAAAACCTACATTTACTTTCATTAATTCAAAATAACTCCTTTTACAAAAATATTACAACAATGAAGACTTTGGAATGTAAACATTACCTTTCATCCCATCTTTCTAATAGATGGGATTTCTTTCATTTTTACATCTCATTTTGTAGTCTTTGTCCTCATACCTATAATTTATGTATAATCCTTCTTCTTAAACCACAAACATTTCATATATATCTATAATACTTCCAAAATGATTTATAATCTTCATTTTTTCAATTAAAAATTTTTAAATTATTGAATTTTTTACCATAATTTACTAATATATTTCTTTTGTACATTCAATCTGTTTTGAGATCTTTTTTGGGAAAGTGACCTTTGCATTTGATGATACAATATGCCTCTTTTGAGAATAGGCTTTTTCGGTGACAGTATTTGTTTAATCTCACACACAAATATGATATTTTAAGGGATTACTGTTGAAGTGATGTCATAAAACATCCACAGTTTGAAAAATTCTCCCAAGAATGACCCTTATTACTGTCAGCAAGAAGGGAGTGGTATTGTTACTAAAATAAAGCTTTTCATAATTTAACTACCAATTCAGAAGACTTTTATTTGCCTCCTGGTGTTTCTCAAATCAGTAGGTTCCACTCTAATCACAGAGTTGATTGCATAGTTATCTAGGATATAAAATATAGAATTAGATAATATATCACTTAAAGCCCAATTACCTTGCCACCCCCATTTTTGTTTTAAGATTCATTATAATTTTATAACTATGAAGTTACAGCATCTCTATTTTATAAGCATTAACAATTTGTCTTCATTGTAAAATGAGTTATCAAAAATTTGAGGCAAGTATACCTTTGCTCAATTGTCAGGTTCCAAGACAAAGATGTCTTTACTTTTGTCAGTCTACCAGGAGTAGGTAGTTGGTAAATAGTAGCAAGTGTAAAGAGGAATATGTTCACCTTTTACTTGGATGTGAATTCTTTGAAAATCTGGAGAAGGCTTTAGATGCTAGGTCAGATAGCCTTAAAGTTGTTTGCTTTTAGATCCAACATAGCTCACCCTAACTTGTCAGAGGTGCTGTATGTTGGATCTGACAAGGACAAACCAGAACTCTCTCGATGACCTCCTAGAAGAGCTCTCTTGGGTCCTGTGCACTGAGGCAAAGAATGCCTTACAGTGTCATACCACTTATATGATATATGATCTATTCTTCTTAGAACACCATTAAGTTGTCTGAAGTCTGTGGCTAGCTGAATAGTTCATTGTATTTTCTGTGTGACCTGAAATCTATCTTAAGTTTTACTTTCAAATTGCTTAAGCTTTATTTTGAAAATATCATCTATTTTATACTTACAAGATTTGTGAATATATGCTGTACTCGCATGACTTCTTGTTATAAATGTACTAGTATTAATAACATCTTATTAAATAAATACCATTACAGTTAGAAATTGGATGACAAGAGGATGTTTGCATTGTATTAGAGATGATGGGTAATTTTTAATTCACTTCCAGTATAGTCTTTGAATATAATTTTGTTGTTTTCCCCTCTTGCTTTTAGAGAGTCATCTATTAACAGAATTAAGTCAGTATGTTCACGTTTACTTTTATAGGTCTTACATATAGACTAAAGCGGTACAAAGGAGCTACAGTTACAGTTTTGATTAGGAGTGTACTTCAAAATTGTGCCAGAGTTTCTTACTCCCCAGGGATCCTAATGCCCTTTACTAGTGACCGTGTACTTTTGAAGGATCATTAATGTGCTGTTGGCCCTCTGTGACTAGAATAGGTTGGGCTAAACAGAAAATGAAAAAGCCTTGTTTCCAAAGGTAGTTGGGAATTGTGAGTGAATATATAAGTGCAATCCCCTTGAGTTACAAAGTCAGCACAAGTTATTTATTTGAAGAATGGCCTTTTCTTTCCCCTATAAGCTATCAGGTTAGAGCAAACCACTTCACATCTTCTGGAGTCTAGCACTTTGGGGGTTCCTGGGTCTAGTTTCTCTAAGTATTTAACTTCTGGGGTTAGGAGAGTGGAACATAATTACCTCTCATCCTACTCTCTATAAATAACCGAGTTCTCTCAGTGACAATGACAGAGAGCCCATCCTTCTCTAAGTCTGTGTCCTAGTTATTAGGGCCTGCATATGACTTCCTCCACTGCCTCCTTACCTCTTCCAAAGATTTAGAGAGACCAGCTAGGGCTGGTCAAAGGCCCCTATACATGGATCTGCGGGGTAACACAGTCCATAGCTCTGAGATGGTTCATTAGTTTTGGTAAGATTTTTATAATTTCATAAGGGAAAAAAACCCCAGAAATGCCATTTGCAAATAACAGACTGAAATCTTCCCATGGACAAAGTTAAAATACTTTCAGTTTATCTCTCAATTTGTATATATAACATTGTATATATTATATATATATATATATATATATAATAACTCAATTCAACTCGAATTTGAGTTATTAATTCAATATATTTCTATTAGATGAAGTTCAGTAGTCCATAAAGTAGAAGATAAAGTGCAGTGCATCCCTGGGTTTTGAGAGTGCTTCATTTTTAATTAGAAAGCATAAGAACTCTATCTTCTTGCCATGGAATGTCTATGTAAATGCCTTTCCAGAGTTATAGAAGCTTGAATATTTATTCTGTTGAAACTTGATTAGATCACTTAGTGAACTACAATAATGAATATTGTTTTAAAATACTGTTAAAAGGCAAATTTGTAATACAGACTATTAGATTAGGCCTAAAGTTATTTTGTTTGTTTTTAATCTCTAGATACTCAAGATGACAAGGAAAGAATTAAAAAGTATGGGGCATTTATACGTTCTCTTCCAGGGGTTAACCGAGCAACGTTGGCAGCTGTCATTGAACATCTTTACAGGTGGGTGTTTTCAGGAGCTTTTCCAGACATTTCAGACATGGCACTCTACAAGTCATTTCTTAAATTTAAAGTACTATGGCCAACTTTCTATATTTGTGAGTTATCCATCATACCTTAGAAATGGTTTCAGTCCACTGAAAAACTACTAGATCCGATACATGAATTCAGTAAGGTAGCAGGATCCAAAATTAATATACAGAAATCTGTTGGAATTTTATAGACTGATAATGAAGTAGCAGAAAGAAATTAAGAAAAAAGTCTCCTTTACAATTGCATTAAAGATAATAAAATACTTAGGAATAAACTTAACCAATGAGGTGAAAGGCTTATACTCCAAAAACTATTAAAAGAACACTGATGAAAGAAACTGAAGATGACACAAATAAATGGAAAAGTATACCACACACAGAGATTGGAAGAAGTAAATTGTTAGGATATCTATTCTACCTAAAGCAATCTACAATTTTAATGCAATCCATATCAAAATACCAACATAGTTTTTTAAATGTTAAACATTATTTTTTAAATGTTAGGACAAATAATCCTAACATTTGTATGGAACTACAAAACATCCCAAGTAGCCAAAGCAATCTTGAGAAAGAGCAACAAAGCTGGAGGCATCACAATCCCAAATTTTAAGATACACTACAGAACTATAGTGATCAAAATCTTGTGGTACCAGCACAAAAATAGACACATAGGTCAGTGGAAGAGAATATAAAGTTCAGAAATAAACTCACACTTACATGGTTAATTAATGTACAACAAAGGAGGCAAGAATACAATGGGGGGAAAGCCATCTCTTAACTGGACAACCACATGCGAAAGACTGGAGCTGGACCACTTTTCTAACACCAGATACAAAAACAAAACAAAAACCAAACTCCCAAAACTGAAAATGGATTAAGTACCTAAATGTGAGACCTGAAACAGTATAAAACCTAAAAGAAGACCTAGACAGTAATTTCTTTGACATTGGCCTTAGAAACCTCTTTCTAGATCTGTCTCCTCAGGCAGAGGAAATAAAAGCAGAAATAAATGATGGGGACTGCACCAAAATAAAATACTTCTGCAGAGCAGAAGAAACCATCAACAAAACAAGGCAGCCTGCTGAATGGGGGAAGATACTTGAAATGATAGATCTGATAAATGGTTAATATTTCAAAGTACATAAAGAACTTCTACAAATCAACAACAGAGAAACAATCTGATTAAAAATGGGTGGAGGACCTGAATAGACATTTCTCCAAAGGCATATAGATTGCCAACAGACACGTGAAAAGATGCTCAACATCACTTTATAATCAGGGAAATGCAAATCAAAACTGTGAGATATCACCTTCTGCCAGTCAGAATGGCTATTATCCAAAAGATCGAAAACAGCAAGTGTTAGAAAGGATGTGGAGTAAAGGGAACCCTCCTACTCTATTCATGGGAATGTAAACTACTGCAGCCACTGTGGAAATAGTATGTATGCTCCTCAAAATATTAAAAATAGAGCTACCATAATTATTAATTTCACTACTGGGTATTTACCCAAGGAAAATGAAAGCACTAATTCTAAAAGATATATGCACCCCTATTTTATTGCAGCATTATTTACAATAACCAGGTTAGAAGCAATGTTAAGTGTCCATCAGTGAATGGATAAAGAAGTAGTGTGTGTACACACACACACACACACACACACACACACAGGAATATTACTCAGCCATAAAAAAGAACAAGGTTTTTGTCATTTGCAACAGCATGGCTGGACCTAGAAGATATTATACTAAGTGTAATAAATCAGACTGAGAAAGACAAATACCATATGATTTCACTTATATATGGAATTTAGAAAAAACATGAAGAAGGAAAACAAAGAAGACGACAAAGCCAGATTCTTAAATACGGAAAACAAGGGGTTGCCAGAGAGGAGGTGGGTGATGAGCAGATGGGTGAAGAAAATGGTTTTAAAATATAATTCCCAGCAAACTATCACTTTAGTGTTTCTTTCTGTAATTAAGACCCATTTCAGATAAATAGCATACTGGAAAATTTCTTAAGTGATTTAGAAATAATCATGTACAGCATCCCGAAGTGAATACTGTATATAAGCACAAACTCTAAAACTCATTTAAGACAGAAGCTGGAGAAGAGAAGAAAGTCCAAAGACCAAAATTTCCTATCAGGAATCTGTGAACACAGTATTTTCTCATGATGAACTCTTCATAAACTTTTATTCCTTGTCAATTTATATCTAATCTAATTCTAATATTTTAGCATCATACTGTTGGACAGATGAGAAAATTTTTAAAGTGAAAAATATTTTCTACATCAGGGTATATAGTTTCTTTCATTTGGGAGGATAGGAAGAATATAGCCATAGCTTGATAAATGAGACCTCTAAAGGATGAGGTATGTTTGAAAATAACCCTTTCAGCTAAATTGAAAGGTTTGTTGGTTGGTTTTGCTGTCAGAATCACTACAGAAACTTCCATAAGTATAAATATGGCTTAAGGAGTATATCATTGTAGCTTTCTACATGGATGCAGTAAGCCATTGAATGAATTTTTGTGAAGCTGAATTCATACCGAAACTATCTTATTTGCAGTCTAGAGTCAGAAATTCTTATGAGACATTGGGACAGATTTTTCATCAAAATTTTAGGAGTGCCTGGGTGGCTCAGTTGGTTAAGCGTCCAACTCTTGGTTTCTGCTCAGGTCGTGATCTGCACGGTGCATAAGATCTAGCCCTGCATCAAGCTCTGTGCTGACAGCTTGGAGCCTGTATGGGATTCTCTCTCTCCCTCTTTCTCTGCCCCTCTCCCACTCATGCTCACATACTCGTGCTCTCTCTGTCTCTTTCTCTCTCTGTCTCTCAAAATAAATAAACTTTAAAAAACTTAATATATGACTAGGCTGCTACAGTTTATTAAGTTAATATTTTGAACATTGAGTTAAACATAATTGTTCTTAAAATTCTTAATTCAGATTTGAGTTTGAGATCACGAGTTCCTTCCCATCCTTCCCCTTTCCCTCTGTTTCTTCAACTGACATATTTTAGCTTCTACTGTATACAAAACAGTACCTATTAAGATTCCATGTGAACAGAAACATTTGATGATGATAATATGTGAATGACAAAAACTCTAAAGTCCATAGTTCCCAAACAGCCAGGGACGTCTGGATGTCAGCGTGAATGCACAGGAGTGCTACAGGGCATTTTATAATTTTTAGGGAAACACAGCAACACTGGAACAGATTTTAATATAGAGAATTTTAATATGGGAGGAAATATTGAGTCATTTGTTGTGTGTTGACATCAGGAGATGCTTTACATTGAAAAGGGTATGTGAACTAGGTGTGAAGGAAGATAAGTGACAAGAAATGAGTGGCAGATATTTTCTAGGAAACAGGTGTGCTGGGAGATGAGCTGGTGTTTAGTTGGCTGGCAGGAGGTTGTGAAAGGCTCAGGTGGTCATGTGAAAACATTCAGATTTTATTCCTTTAAGCAACAAAGAGTGACTAATCAAGTCTGTTTTGTGACAATAACCCATGAATGGGATTGATTGAAAAGAGATGGGAATAGACACAGAGAATCTAATCAGGAAACAGTTTTCTTGGGCTTCTAATGAGAAAGCCTGAGTGAGAAGAGGCTCAGTAGGTTGAATAGGAACACTTAGGGATGATAACAATTGGGGCAGAGAAATGAAGGAAAGGAAAATACTATATTCCTTGAACTTTATGCCAGAAATTAAGGCAGCTGCACAAATGGAAGAGAAGAGAGGTGAAGAGTAGCAAAGAAGGATGCTATTGTGGAAGGAAGTCTCAAAAAAAGTGAGAATGTTTGATAGAGTCGTCAGAAGTTTGAGAGGTCCATTTGGTAAGGTCAGGTTGATTTAGCGTTTAATTCCATCCTTGCCCCAGATAACAGATTGCTTCCTCCATGACTAATTTTTACTTAATTCCATTCACCAGATATTTATTGTGCTCTCCAGTGTGATTAAAGCAATAGTCCCTAACTGGGAGATATTTCAGTTCTGGTAACACAGGCAGACCTGCAGATAAATTTTCCAGATGTTTATAATTTAGTGTGGTAAGAGTACAGATGTGGTTTTGAGAGGGATGTCTACAATTATCACACTCTCCTCTATTGCAATTCACTTTGCATCTTCTAAATCACATATGATGCACTTACTTAGTCTCTGCTATGCAATGCAGCATTTTATTGTGAGTTTCTTATAGCATCGTATATATATTCCTATTGTCTTTACTCTTTTTGGTAACTGCAGGAATCTGCTTTTTGTAGACAGGTGTACCTAGCTTAGTCTTGTTTTATTCCTTTGATACAGTTGGTCTCTCCTTTTCAGTATGTAGTTTAAAATTTACAAATGTAATTAGGTGGTTGAGCAGCGTGCTATTATGTATAGTCAGTAGCAAATAGCATTAACAGATACTCGCATGTGTATCACTTATAGTTCTTACCTGTACATTTTTATTGATGTAAATTTCCTTTTGTTGGGTTGATGTAGTTTTTTTTTTTAATCACTTTGCATTTAACATTTGCAAATATAATTGACCCTTGAACAATGCAGCATTTAGGGGCAGTGCTCCCCCTCACAGTCAAAATCCACATATAACTTGACTCCCCCATACTTAACTACTAATAGCGTACTGTTGACTGGAATCCTTACCAGTAGCATATATAGTCAATTAACACCTTTTGTGTGTGTTACATGTATTATATACTATGTTCTTATAATTAAGTAACCTAGAGAAAATAAAATATTAAGAAAATCATAAAATATATTTATATTACTGTACAGTATTTATCCAAAAATATTCACACATAAGTGGTCCCACACAGTTCAAACTGTGTTGTTCAAGGGTGAACTGTTCTTTAAGTGTTCTTGGTAAGACCCACAGTTTGTAGCCTAATTGTGGGGAGAGTTGACTCCTCTGTTCATGTCTCTTCACCATAAAAAGACCTTAGTTATATCCAAGAAAATTGTAATTGTATTTTTAAATTGTTTGATTTGTGAGAGAGAATATCCTATTTTGGATAACTATACAAGCCCATGCTGTCCAGTATTTTCTCACCTGATTTTCACTTCCTGGAAAATTCAGCCCAGCCTTGAACCTTGAATTTGGAACTCTCTACTGTATGCCTCCTAATTCACCTTTCGTGCCATTTTTTTCTTCTTACCTATGCCTCCTTTTCCCTCTTTCATTTATGCTTCAGTCCCACTGGTCATTTTACACCATTGTCTAAGCCCTTCTTGAAGCCTTAGCCTGAGGTTGCACCATTGTCTGGGTGGGTCTCACCCAGTCCACAGACAAGGACTACTTTGTAACTTGTAATCATATCTTCTTTAACAGTAGTTTTTTCTTATATTCTTAACTTGACTGTCAACTGCTTAGAAGAACAAACTGTACATTGTTCTTTAAATCACCACCATACCTCTTCTATCAGAGACTTTCGATGTGTGTGTGTTAAATAATGATAAATGGTGTTATGACTAAAGTTCTGTGAAGTGTGTTGTAATGAGCTCTGCTTTTCTCTAACAGGGTTCAGAAATGCTCAGAAATCAATTACATGAATGCTCATAATTTGGCCTTGGTCTTTTCATCCTGTTTATTTCAAACTAAAGGACAAACTAGTGAAGAAGTGAATGTAATTGAGGACTTAATTAATAACTATGTTGAGATATTTGAGGTAAATATTTTATATCCTGCCCTTTGTAAAATAGTTTTGATGTTACTGTTGGCAAATAAAAATTTATATTTTAGGATGTTTATAATCACATCTTTATGAATATCTAAAAATAAAGCATAGTTACATGATTTTTAATATTTTAGATACAAGTAGCCTTCTTAGCTATAGCCATTCATTTAAATTTGACTGCTTTGAGAGTCATCTGGTGTCTGCTGGACAGAATATTTCTATTTATAGAGTTTTTATGGCTTTTTTTCCTTGTCAGTATGTGTATGCATTAAGTATGTCTACTTAGAGGTGTGAATTATGAATTTCACGAATTTGGTAATAAATAACAAGCTGATAAATTCTGTAATTGAATACATTTTAGTGTTCTATTTTAATTGTGTCTGAACTGGAAATGAAGAAAATCCCAACATAATGTTCTGTGGTTTTTAGTAAGTCTGTTCTAATCATTTGACTTTCGGTTTGCTATTTTATGAAGTTAATATATTCACACTTCATAAGAAAACTGTTGGAATAAGGATGATTTCTTAGTTGAAGTAAAAATCAAGGAAATAAGCCCAAGATTTTAACATGGGGGGGATATAGGGTATTTGGGTCAAAGGTCCAACTCCATCACTTTATTAACACTGACATCTTAATTACCACTGGCATGGTTGCATTTAACCTTTTGGGGCACTCTATTAAGTGGTGTTATATAAGATTTCTTGTTTTCCAAGGTTATGGGTATGTCAATTGAAATTAAATGGGTTAATGTGATAGGTTATTCTATGTAGAACTGTATGTAGAGTTCTTATGTTCTTACATTAAGTGATTGCAAGATTCCTTAGCCAAGGGAAAGAAACTCTAATAAAATAGAAACACACCATTTGTATCTTACCTTATATAGGAATGGACACCAAGATTGTTGGATTCTCTTTGTTCTTTGGTCCCTTTCTTTCTTTCTATATGTGTCCACTGTTTTTGATCAACAGCAGCTTCTTTGCAATAATTCTGATGCTGAGAAATGAAAGAATTAGGAAAAAAATAATGTGTGGCTTTACATGCTCTCTTTATTTTCTATATTTGTACTGTTACATTAATAAAAAAAAAAAATGGTTATCTTCGTAGTTTTGCTAACCCCAACTTTAAATGGTTGAAATTTTGTAAGCATTTAATCATTTCAGTTTGAGAAATGAGATGAGTCTTGTCTCGTAGCCTACATAAACTCTAACAGATCTCTTATTAACCCCTTTGCTTATTAAGGCACTTAGCGATACAGCTTCCATTGATGGAATCTGCAGCTTGAAGTGATGTCATCATAAAATGCTCTGAACTTTATGAGGCTCTATTATGTTGGCTTTATTTCTGCCCTAGCTGTGTGGGCCCATGCTGATTAAGATGGTCATTCTCATTTATTTGTAAACTGTTGGTCTTTAAATTCCTGAAGAGTTATGAGAGGATGAGTACCATCACTTCTTGTATTTTATTAGAATGTCCCAAATTATATTTTAAACAGGTTAAAGAAGACCAAGTCAAACAAATGGACATAGAAAATAGCTTTATTACCAAGTGGAAAGACACTCAAGTGAGTAGTAATAGTCAGATCTCTAAAGAATAAAAATAGTAATTTTAAAAACAACAAAAACCAAAAACTTCTGTTGTAAGTAAAGACATTTGTTGTATTTATTTTCAAGTTCCTATCTGAAGCAAAGTAAAAGTAATGGGGATTGAAAAACCTACGTAAAATAGTTACCTAATTCTGCAGCATGATGCTCATATGTGAAATGCCAAAGAATATTAATGTAAATTTTTCAAAATACAGAAGGAAAAATCATTATTAATCTTATCAAATGGCCTTTATAAAATCAATTTTTAGTTACAAATGCAGTATTAAAAGTACCAGTGGATTCCAATGGAAGCATTTAAAGCCAAAGAAATACAAGACTAAATTGAAAATTCAGCTCCGTAATGATTCTTTCCATTATGATTTTGAAAATATAAATTTTTTCCTCTATGCTTTTGCTCTGCATGCTCTCAGATGATTATATTAGTGGCAATTTTTCTAATGTCATCTTTGCAACGTACGCTGATTTATGTCTGAAATTGACTATTTTCTAAATCTTCTTTTGCTTTCCTCAGTCTCATTATATTGGATTTGTGTGTTCAGGGTGCACTGCTGTTTTCCAGGGCACCTTTCCATGTTTGATGAACATTTATTGAACTTTCATAAAAATCTGTATTTAATCTTCTTCTAATCACTAGGAGTTGTAGTGGATCCTGGATACAAATGAAAATAATATATATGGGTCCAGTATGTTCTGTTTATATATATATACACTCAGAGAATGAAGCAAATGCTTCCTTATTAGTCAAACTCTAAATCTGCCTCATTCCTGAAATATCAGAGAAGTCATCGGAGCTACTATTCCATAAGAAGGAGAGGAGAAAGGGCTGCCATTCCAGTGCCCAGGATCCCTGAGTGCTGGTACTTACCTACGAAAGCACCTTCTCCATTCTAACCCTCCATTCTAACCCATGGCCTCCAGAGGAGTTAGCTGTAAAACTAAGAAATCTGGCACCTTATCACTTCTCTTGAATGAATGTTTTTGGGGGAGTTTGAGGGATGTGTGAGCCCAAGGGATAATCTTTGGCAGCATTACCTGTGTTGTAAATAGATAAAATATGAGTATCCTTCTCCCTTTTTATCTTTTATGTTCATATTACAATAATGAAATGAGTCTTGGCTGCTTTTTAATTAAGTACATGTAAGTAAATAGGAGAAAATAATGTCTTTAAAATGGTGGTAATTGGACAGGAAAGTAGAATACTTTGGAAAAACTTGTTCTTTTGCTATGTTTTTCTCTAATCCATTCAAAACTCTGTTCTGGTGTATTTTTCTGACAGACTCTCTGTCTTATCCCTGTTTGAATTTTCTTAACTATTCTTGTTTTGGCTTCACTGTATGAGTTCTTTGTGTTTGCGTTTTTAATTTTTAAAATGTGTCCTTCCTGGAGAGTTGTTTATGCAAACACAGTGAAAAGTAGAAACGTCAGCTGTATGTTTTCTTTCTTAGAATTTTTGTGTCTCATTGAAAGTGAGGAAGAAAAATTGGAAATAAGCTTTTCTAAGTCTGTAATGCCAAAATAATTAAAAATACTTTTCAAAGTACATTTTTAAATGTTTTCCCTAATTTTTTCATCAGGTTTTCTTCTTAGGCAAATTTAACTTCAGAGTGATTGTTTCTCCATTATGACCATGTTTTAAATTGTGAGATCTTATATCTAAGTGGTTATTATAATTTAAGGCAATTTCTGAAAAAAGCACTCAAAATATTTTTCATAGGTTGACTAAGTTCTGTGTTAATCTTTTCCACATTATACTGCTGATCGACATAGTGGTATCTTACGGTTTTTATTTTATGAAGAAGTGTCTCTTCTTCACTTAATATGTCTCCTGATCTACAGTAGTGACCCAAATCATTTAACACTTAATGCTTGGCTGAAAGTAATTAAAATAAAAACCTCTCTTTATCATCTATCTTATTCTGTCACTTCACTTTTTTTTTTCTTTGCTAAATATACTTCCTCTCTATGTAGTTGTAATACAGCTCTGACCTAATTTATCCTCAAATTTCAGTTTTTGGGCATAGCTCTTTGAAATTTTAGCAACACCTGTTTTCTCTTTTAATTATAGGTTTCACTCACTCTGTAGATTAGAGCACAGTTACACATGGATCATTTTCACTCTTAATTTTGTTTCTCCTTGTAACATACATGGTGATGGCTCTTAGACCTTCTGTTGTTGAAGTCTGCATGCCCCTGTTGTAGACAGATTCATTATTTTAGTAAGAATATAAGAGTGTTTCAGGACACTAAATTCTTAAGAGATGAAAAAATTGCACTGTGATTACATCCTTTGTGTAGATTATTTTTTCTTAGTCAACCACATCTGAAGATGAGAATTATCGTGCTATTAACAGGCTCATTTCATTATTATAAAATATCTAGAAAAAGGACTAGGACTTTCTGTCCTAAGTGTCATAAGTATGTTCTTGGAACATACCTATATCTGCTCTCTTCATATCTGCCCTTTTCTAGGTTTCTCAGGCTGGAGATTTGTTAATTGAAGTGTATGTAGAAAAGAAGGAACCTGACTGCAGTATTATAATTCGGGTGAGTCCTAAAGATGGATGTAAAGAGTACTTCTGGAAATCGCAAGTATTAATACACATTAATTTACGTATCTTGAATTTTCCATCACCTCTTGTATTTTATTTCACCTGTCCAGTTCAAACCATGACTGATTGATAGGATTGACTTTTTATTCCAATATTCTCCAGGAATTCCATATTTTAGTTATTTGGAAAGAGAATATCTTGAAGTGCTTTGGGTTATGATTAGGATATTCTGTAGGTTCTAAATAATAACCTGCTCTCAAATACTTGCTCCTCCCTTTCCTAGCTTCTTAACATCAGGCAGCTTAACTTACTCTGTGTGAGCCCCAATCATCTCACCTAAAAAATGAGGAAAAATTAGCATATTTACATAGTATCATTGATGTGAGTCCTTGATGAGATACTGTGTGTAAAACAGTAAATTGCTTGGCACATAGTGTTTAATAATTACTACTAGTCCTATATTATTTTTATTATTTATTACTAGTCTTCCACTCTTGTATCCTAGACTTTCTATCCCAATATATGTGAATATTGGATAAATCTCTTCTTTTTTGAGAATATGAATCTTTTTTTTTCTTTTTTCTGAATTAAAAGTATCCCTCTCGTGCTGCCATATTCAGTACTTAGTCTGCTTAGGGGGCGGGTAACAGTGATAATTCAGATTCCTGCTTAGTAAGACTACATTCTATGTATGAAGGAGACATTTTGCCATCTAAAGTCCAAGATTTAAACAGAATCTTATGTATTTCTGGACTTCAGTTTTGTTAAATACATTGTAACTATTAATTTATATTTTTAAATGATTATAATGTCTCTATGGCACTGGTTAACTCACTTAGAACATGGAGTGAACTGCTATAGTAATAAGTTTTGTTCCTAAGTCACAGGAGCCTTGCCACTGCTTGACCACATCGGATTTCCTATGCCAGTGGTGGTATGTTGATCATAGGGGACACGAAGAAGTAATACAGAGAATCAGCACACATCCATCATTAATGCTAGAGGAGGTGTTCAGAGCACATGACTTAGTTCCACTTACACACACACTCTTTAGTAGCTCATTTTAATTTTGTCTTAACTAATAAAGGCCATAACACAAGTTATTATAATTGAGCAAAATTCTTATTTTAAGCAAATGCACATAAAGGACTGCCTAGTTTCACCTACAAGAATTCCAGCTTCTCTGTAAAAATAATTATTAACATTTGTTTCATGCTTAAGACTTTAGAAAACTATTCAGTTATATTTATTTCAGTTGGTTGTTACCTCAGTACCAGGAGATAGTTGAAGCAGGAAATGTCTCAAGTTTACATGAATGCAAACTTGCAATTAAAAGTGTTAAGGCCAGAATGCATACCATGGTCATCAGATTCCTACCCTGATGCTCATCATACTCATCTGTATATTCCTTAGGGTAATAATTTGCAAAGTGTGCCATGTGGGGTTCTAGGAGCTCCCTGTCCTTGGGAGCCCTTTGGGACAAAGAATGGAGTTCGGTTTTCCACTCCATGTCAAACTGAGGCACTCCCTGCCTCTCTTGCACAGTTTGCTTTCTCAGCAATTTATTATTTTAAGAAAGAGTTATGCTTCTTAAAAAATGTCAGAGCCATTCAGATGAACAGCATTATTGAAATGATTCATCTGATGTTTCTACTATAGTTTTCCACTTTGCCCAGATAGTGAGATTTTTTTCTTTTAAGATTATATTTCATTGCACTGTTTAAAAGATAGTGGACTTCATTGTATCATTAATATTTTCCAAAGAAAGTACTAAATTCCATGAAGCCTAGAAAATAGACGGTATGAGTTACCTGTAATGGAAAGTGTTCTTATGTTACTTACATATGTGCGATTTGCCTGTGATTGGTCATGGACAGGAGAAATGGTAATGGCACATTCCTGTTTGAAGCAATTTTCAAATAAGTACATACTTCTACTGAAAATGTGCATACTAGGTTGCAGTCACAGTATCTTCATGTTTAAAACATCTTCTATTTGTGTACCGTTATAACTAAATTCAAATTGAAGAAAGCCAGCTTGCTTTTGTCCCGTATGCATTTAAGATTGGCAAAAACAAGAAGAAACAAATCAAAAACCCCAAAGTCCCTGAGAAAGACAGTGCACTTATGCCACGGCCTCAGGCTTGGGGACCCTTGTGGACCTGGCCTCAGGGCTGGCACTGCAGACCCTGCCCTCTGTCCTGCAGCCCTGGCCCCAGCCTACGTTGGGGCCTCGCCATCTGTCACTTGGCACGACAGGGCACACCACAGACCACTAAGACTGTGGGGCTTTTTGGCACAGTAGGCTGTAGTCGACTGTGTATAATTCAGGGTCCAGACTGAATCAACCAAACCACTTTGAACTCATGGATATAGAACTGATGAGTGAAATTTTTTACTCCTAGAATGCTGTTGGATTCACTGTCTGGTGAAGGTTCTTCTGTGTATGATTAGGTACATTTTTTTCTCCCTAATTGCTCACTGATTGAGAAAAAAAACATTGTTCTTGATCATGCCTATATTGTAATATCTTCATGTGCTCACATTAAGATGTATTCTATTTTATGGAGAAGATCTGAACAGGCTGGTTTTTTTCTGTGTGCTTAGAGAAGCTAAGTAAACATACTAAGGAAGAAACTTAGAATGTCCTAAGTTGGTGGATGGGGTGCCCACTGTTGACTCTGTCATATGGCTACTTCTCTATTTGATGTACATTCTGAAGAAACTTTGCTGCTCTTATAGATCTCTCCTGTGATGGAAGCAGAGGAATTAACTAATGATATATTAGCAATAAAGAACATAATTCCTGTGAAAGGTGATATCTGGGCCACATTTGAAGTCATTGAAAATGAAGAGCTAGGTAAGTGATTTTCATGCAAGGATTCTTAAATTCCTTATAGTATGAACAAGTACTATGTTTGTGCCAAGAAAGTACAGACATTTTGTGGTTTTTAAAGATTAACCTCTTCATTTTTAATTCCCTTCTACTTCAGTGCATGTGTTCTATGTCATTGCCACTTGAGTTTGCCCTCCTATGATTTTACTCATCTAAATAATTATTTTATTGACTATGAAAATATAATGCAAAGCATTGGACATCCATATTGCTACTTCAAGAAATAGGCCTTTGCTTATAATAAGGTTAAGCAATTTGATTTGTAACTATTCTAAATGGCACTGTAACCATCCATCTCATTTGCTATATGCTGCTCTTTTAACAAAAACAATGTTGATTTAAAAGATTATTTATTTAAAAAGCCTTTTTTAAAGCTAAAAAAGCTAAAAAAGGCTTTTTAAACAAAAATATTATTAAATAAAAAATAGATTATTATCTATTTTTTGTTTTTTGTTTTCTCTTTTCATCTCTCTTAGTGGAGTGGACCAGATATTTTGTCATATATTATTTCAGACACGGAAGGATAGAGGTTTTAAAATACCTTGACTGTCCCAGTAGTCAGATGCTGAATAAGCCTTACAGTCTAATGACACCTCTAGGTGTCATTAGTTTTAAGGACCTCTAGGGAAAAAAAAAAAAAAAAAAGATGCAGAATGTCTTTGTACCTTGACCATCTGTCTAGATGCAACCTACTAAGGTCTTGGGACCCTTTCAAGTATAGTTGTCACACTGCCAAAAGTAGAATCTTGCCACCTGCAAGCTCAAGATAAAAATTAAAATCCAACATTGAAATACCCTACCGTGCATTCGTAGGAGTGTTGTAATCAATGTTAGAATGAAATGGGATGTCAAATACTTTGTCTCTCATTAGTCTGTCGTTATGTTTTCATATCTTTCTTTTTGTCATGCATAATTCTTTAAAAATCTGATTCATATTAAAATAATAAAATAATTTTTGAATATTGTCAAGATTCAGTACTTCCCATGGCTTGGTGTTGGTTCACGCTGTGTCCCCCCATATTTGGTCTCCCCCATTTGCAGGAGGTAGTTTAGCAGATGACCATTGTGACCCCAGCTTCCAAACCCAGTTGATTTGCTTCAGGCTTCCGTTGTCCTCACTGTAGAGTTATTACTAATGACTATTCTCTTTCCTTTTGAAGGTCTTTCACTCTGTATTTGATACTGCCTGGATTGTCCTTCTTGGTCTGTACTCCTTTTATTTGTCAGTTTGTCCTTGGTCTATCCCCTAAGTGGTAGCTTTTTGCTGATCCCATCTCCTTTGGCATCTTTTTCAATTTACATGTTCTTTATAGATAATCCCTTCCATTCTTTGTGCTTGCCTAACCAGGGTGAGGTAGTATTTCCCAAATGCATCTTTACTCTCCCCCCAACTAGCCCACCAGTTTACCTCCTTTAAAACCCATACTAAGGGTTCCGTTGCACCTTGTCTCTCTTGCTCAGAGCTCCATGGAAGGAAGGAGGGACTTTCTTTTTTCTGTCCCTAGGGTCTGACTAGTGCCTTACTTATAGTTGCCGTATAATTAAAATCTACTGAATAAGTAAAGCATAGTTTTTTATTACTATACGGTATATAGGTGTTCCCGTCTTTTGATTTTTGTTGTTTAATTTTTAAGGAAAAGGTTAGGTTACTGGCTTTATTGTCATTTTAAGTAAAGGACAACTGTCAGTATTATGGCCAGAATTATCTTTCTAAATCACAAATAGGATCCTATTGTTCTACTGTTTAAAACCCTTTTGTTGTGTCCTTATTGCCTATCCTTCAAGATCTAGTTCAAATACTCCTTCTTCTGTGATGATGTTTAGATGAACATAGTTCCCATTGACCTTTTTCTAATTATTTGTTTATTGATCCATAACACTGCATATTATCTGACTTGTAGAATAGTAATGTGTATCTGCCTTCCTCTGCCCTAGAACATTTGTTTTTCAGGACATTTACCGTATTTTTTAGACCTTTCTATCTGTCACTACCTCTAGTACAGTGCACTGATTTAGAATAGACCCTACAAATATCTTAACTGAAGTGGAATAAAAATAGATGCATTCTGGACTTGAGTGACTTGGACTGCTGCTCTTTGGATTCGATGTATCCAAATGTAGAAGGTACATGAAAAGTAATTCCTGTTTATAGATTAGGAATCACTAGGAGTTCTCAAGGCCAGGTTAGCTCGTAGACAGCTGATTGTTTCCTATATGCTTCTATTTCTGTTGTGTTCATGAGGACATCCACAGCAAAAAATGGATCATAGATTTGGGGGTAGGCATCCTCTTCCCAACACCCTTATTCTCTCAAGGACTGATTTAAAATGCATCCTTCTGTCACATCATTTGAGCCCTGTGTCTTTGGGCATCAGTCCTCTTGAGTGAGAGGATCTAGCAGAATGAATGAAGATAGGAAGTAATTATTGATAACTAGAAGAGAGATTGCAGTACATCTGGAAACATTGTTACTAGATTTCATCTTGGAAAATGAAGGGTTGCTAATTCTGAAAATGGCTGCTTATTAACTTGCATATGACAATTAGTACTCCACAAATTGGAGTAACATTGGATTCAGTTGGATTTTTTCTTGTTTTGTTTTTGTTGTCTTTTGGTTTCTTCTAACCTAAAAAAAAAAGTTACCTTGGGGTTCCTGGGTGGCTCAGTTGGTTAAGCATCCAACCCTTGGTTTCGGTCTGACCTGACAATCTTATGGTTTCGTGAATTGAAGCCCCACATCAGGTCCTGACAGTGCAGAGCCTGCTTGGGATTCTCTCTCTCCGGCCCTCCCCCACTCGCATTCTCTCTGCCTCTCTCAAAATAAATAAATAAACTTTGATAATAAAAAAGTTATCTTGATAAAAATATAAAAACACTTAGGAGACCCCAAGTTGTTTTGATTCATGAATATCTAAATAAATGATCAAAAGAGCACCCCGTGTACACCAAGAAAGAAAACATTTGGTGAAGTTAAGAATTCACATTTGGCATGGTTTTAATATTTGGTCGACTCTTTAAGTAGAATTCTCCAGGGGAGAAAACTAAGATCATTTTAACTGCTTCTAAAGGAGCAGTGCTAGGAAAGCAGCAGAGGGGCCGGTGAATGTGCTGGCTTTACTGAAGCAGACGGAACCTGTGTGTTCCACCTGACCTGCTGAAATGTTAAAAGCTTTATTTCTAGTAGCATGCAGGGGAGATAAAGCGAAATATAAAAAGAAGCTAAAAGTGAAGGCATTGGCAGTCACAAAATTGTAGTTGGTAGGAAGAATGTCCGTAGAGAATTGCTGCTTTTTTCCATTGTAATTATAAATCCCCCAAGTAACCAAAAATAATTTGAGAGATAAATAGAGAGGTAGAGGGTAAGTGAACCAGAAGTGCTGCATTTTGTTTTAGGTGACACTAAATTTTCTACCCTCTCCTATCCAGTGCCCCTTTTATAATAAATATTTTTTAATGCTCCCTTACTCTCCTGAGATACTCTATTTACTTAAAAAAAATTAATACCCTTGTTATATAAAAATAAGAGGAAAATATGTTATATAAATGCTCAGACACCCCTGTATGGTTGAGGATAATGAAAATAGATTCTCAAACCTATAAATGGAATTGCCCTGGATATGACAGGTACCAAAGCAGACTGATAGAAAAAGCATGTCAATTTGTGACTCATATATCATTAGCATCATTGCTGTCATTGGTGAGATGGTGTCTTAGTCCAGTCAGACTGCTATTGCAGACTTCTATAGACCGGGGGCTTATAAATAATAGAAATTCTTTTTCACAGTTCTTGAGGTTGAGAAGTTTCACAAGATCAAGGTACCAGCAGATTTGGTGTCTGGTGGCGGCCTGCTTTCAGCTTCATAGAGGGCTGTCTTTTCCCTGTGTTCCCACATGGTGGAAGGGAGCTCTTTGGGGTCTCTTTTATAAGAGCACTAATCACATTCATAAGTGGTCTGTGTTCAAGATTTCTGAAAGGTCCTACCCCCTAATACCATCACATTGGGAATTAGGTATCAATGTATGAATTTGAGGAGGACATTTCAGACCATAGCAAATGGTGGACAACTCTTGTTTTGCTTATTGGTAGTCAGATCGATGGAAAAATAGGTCCTATTAAAACCATATAAATGTTTTGAAAATGCGTATGTAAAGCTGAATTAAATTCTAGGCTCAGCTAATTTCTGAGTTGGTTTTCCCTCTTAAATGAAGGTCTGGTGGGACATTAGACATTTGTACTGGGTAGAGAAAAAGTCTTTCTTGTTTCATTCATTGAAAGATGCCAAGTATCCTTCACCCACTGCTGCCTGTCATTAAAACAAGCTGAAACCTCCCCTGAAGGGCTCACCACCTTCATCTAGAGATAATCTTTTAAAGTGTGCTCTTCTCTTAATGCTTCATCTTCAAACAGAAAGGCCTTCACGTCAGGAAGAAGAAGGCCTTCACATCTTCACACACAGGAAGAAGAAGGAAAAAACACACAAGGGGCCTCATTTAAGTGGGCGTCTTCACTGAGAGAGGTTCAAGTTTTTTGAGGCAGTTGCTGTCTCTGAAGCAATATCATAACAGAACATTTTCTTGTTTCTTCCTAAGAGTTACTGTGATATGCAAGATCTGTTCATTTTTAATCAGAGTTCTTTCCAGCCCTTCTGATGACACAAAAATGCTTTCACCCTCTGATTGTGTGGACAGGACAGAGAAAACTTGCAGAACTCTTAGTTTGACACTAAGAATTTAACTATTGGGGGAATCATAATTGTTTCAGGAAATCCTGTGTCATTACTGCAGAAAGTTAAGGACAACACCTGTTATTTCGAGTGGAAAATGGATAGCTCTCTCTTTTTAACAAAAGAGGCCAGATTGATTCTGTGAGCGTGATTTTAAGATACGGAAAATGAGGGGTACCTGGCTGGCTCAGTCGGGTAAGTGTCTGATTCTTGATGTTGGCTCGGGTCATGTTTTCACAGTTGTGAGTTTGAGCCCCATATCGGGGCTTTGTGCTGACAGTGTGGAGCCTGCTTGGGATTCTCTCGCTCTCCAATTCTCTCTGCTCCTCCCCCACTTGTGCTCTTGCTCTTTCTCTCTGTCTCTCAAAATAAACTTTAAAAAAAGATATTGATAATGTGATTTATCTAACTAAATAACCTCCTCCATAACCTGTTCTTCTCAAATAACTATAGTGAATTTTCAACAATTTTTATGCTATAGATAGTACACAACCGAGTTATTTATTCCTAGTAATGCCTAATGCCAGATGACATATATACCATATAATCTATCATGACAGATGGTTACAAATGGAACTATAAATAAAAACTTGTTTATTTGTAGGAATTTCTATTCTAGCAGTGTTTGATGTCTCAATTTCCCCTGCCTATTATCTCTTAAAGTGGATTTTAATGCCATTTTATAAACGTAGCATTAATAGTCTAATAAATACTTAACCTTTTCATCCCATGCTTCAGCTCTGTTTTTATGCAGGAACTTGGATCTTCAGGATTTTCACTCTCTAAAGTATGTCATATTATTATACTGATGTGAAAAACATACTTAACAATTTTTTCTGCAAATCTGTATTTCTATATCTGTGGTGTCAGTTATACTTTGATTTCAATATCACTAAGAACACTACTAGAGCTACCGCTGTAGTTTTTACTTATAATAGGGACCCTCTTTAATACAAATGTTCCGATACTTGGAAGTTTCATTACCGATTTAATTTGATAAGAAGAATGAGCTTTTATTTTAATCCAGATACTGTTTTCCAGTTGGGAATAGAATTCTCACCTCTAAGCCAACTGTGGGCTCATCAGTTTCATTAAGTGCAAGATGTTGAAATCCTTACCATCTTGTCACCAAGGGTAGGAAAGTGAAGGAGGTGTGAAATTGACATTGTTTTCTACTTATGCTTGGTACTCAAAAAAATCTTGGTGAGTCGATACCTTTTTCTCCAAATTACATGTAAGAAAATCATTATGTGGGAGTCTACATACTTGCCCAAAATAAAAATTAAGTGCAGTATTTAAAAATACTGGATTTTCATGTCAGATATTTTTGAGATTCAAATCTTTGTTCTTCACTTGAGCCAGCTGTTTGACCTTAGGTTGACCTTAGTCAACCCTCTGAGCCTCATTTTCTTTTACATATAAAATATGAATGATACCTAGTGAAGAGTGCTATGAGGATGAAAAGTGATCATCGATGCAGAGAATCTGGTATACCTATCATCTGATACACGGTTATTCCAGAAATGACAGCTGTTAATGGTATCAGTGTCCCAGAGATTGCAAGTACTGGAACCAAGAATTACATCGTGTCAAATGTAAAGAGAGTACTCATTCTACAATTAGTTGTTTTTTAAAGAAATATAGTTAATTCTAATTATAACCTCCATTAATAGAAGACAACCATTAATGGATTAATCAACAATTAAATTTATAACTTTGACAATTTATAGGACGTTATGATCTTTGTCAAACCTTTTTGACAAATTACTTGAAGACGAGAAGACAAATGGGATTGATAAGAGCACAGAAGATTTTAGCTTACTTTGAAAAGACTTTTGTCTGCTGGTTCATTTCCAAATATTTTCTGTTAATTATAGTCCGCCATAGAAATGTCTCTTATGTACTTAGCAGTCTGCTGTGTAGAAAGGGATATATTTCACACAAGATGTAGATTTGTCTTTAAGATGTATGGGCTTGTTGCTTTTTAAAATTTTTTTTTGTATTGTTATTGTCATAATGAGTGGGCTTGCTCCAATAAATACTGAATAGTAAAGCAGAAATCTGGTTCTTTACACTGGCAGCAGAAAAATTTGTATTCTTCTGTGGACCTGGGATTATTGATACATTTGGGAATGCTGAGGTCATAGCAAGGGGAGATCAGTATTAAGGGGATGTGATATATTTGGTCTTTTTACTTAGGATTGTATTGCTAATTATATCATAGTTCCTATATAAGTATGATGCTCTTAACATGCTCTTTGTTTGTCATTAGTGTTTTTACTTTAATTGAAAATGAAAAACCAGAATCCTGTGCTCTTTGTATTTAGGAAGGGATGAAAGAGTTGAATTGACTTATATACAACTATGATCCTGAGAAAGCTTCATCAGCATCTTTACGTTAGAGCTGATGCTCTTGCTATTTCAATTATCCATTTTTCAGGGTACCATGGGATGGTTTGAATTTCTTTTATTCTAGCATATGTTTCTGTTCTAGCATTTTATTAACTGACTGTCATATTTTGATCAAGAAAAACACTTTACTATAAAACTTTCATTGTGATTCTAAAACCAGTCCTTTTTTTTTTTTTTTTTTAACTCTGTGCTAAGAATTTGTAACACATTTAAATATATGATTGCCTAAAATAAGACCTGTGGATGAGTATTTATCAAGGTGAAATATTTAAGATAATTAACTTCTTGCTTTTGGCCTATTGTATCAACAGTTAATATATAATATTGCCACATAATATTTCACTAATAGGTATAAATGATATAGTATTTTATGATTATTTTCATCTATTCTCCGCTGAGAAACATTTTTAAATGTTTATTTACTTTTGAGAGAGAGAAAGAGAGAGCAAGAACAGGAAAGGAGGAGAGAGAGAAGGAGACAGAGGATATCAGGTGGGCTGCATGCTGACAGCAGCCCTGTCTGGAGCTAGAACCCACGAACCATGAGATCATGACCTGAGCCGAAGTCAGACACTTAACCGACAGAGCCACCCAGGTGCCCCTTAGGCATATTTTATAATTCCATGTTAATTGACTTAAGATAGTATCAGCTATAAATTGTTCATTGGTATTAATCAGATATTATAACATGCTAATCATGTTGGGATGAATGAAGGTTATTACTTGCTACTGAACAAAATTAACTTTGCTAGTCCTTTTTCAGTTAAGTACTTGCATATACATATAGCTTCCCAGAAGCAAGCCATAATATTTTCTGAATTAAAAAGTAGAGTAAGAAATGGATTTCTCTTAGAAAAGGATAACATTATTTCTGAGATTTCATCTAAAGGATAGCACCTCTGAATTTTTTTTTACTAGCTGGATAACAAATGTCCCCGCACAGATTCATTTATACAGTAAATTTCATCATATGCTTAATGGTGTTCCATGTGTTAGGCTCTCTTGTATGTAGTCCTAGCATTATTATTATTGTGTAACATAAGATATGGTTATATTTTTTTGTTGCATACACATCTTTCATAAAGGATTTTTAAAAATGTATAAAAGCTGGTAACTTACTTTTTTTTCAGTTTGGTATTTTTTTTTGCAGAACGCCCTCTTCACTACACAGAAAATGTGTTGGAACAGGTGCTTCGGTGGAGTTCACTAGCTGAACCTGGCTCTGCTTATCTTGTGGTGAAGAGGTTCTTAGCCCTTGACACAGTCAGACAATATAATGGTAGGTGTTGTTATTTCACCTTGCAACTACAATAGACAATTCAAGTGGCTACAGGATAATTATTATAACTCAAGGATTGTTTGGTAATGTAAAACATGAGAAGCTGCAAACAGAATCCACTTGACACAGAATTGTAGAATAGGAAGAAGAACACAGAGACAGAGAACCTCGTGCCAGAGTCAGATTTTCCTGGAAAGTAGCATGCTGCCAATACTGCCTAGTTTGATAGTCCCAAATTAATGTTTTAGGAAGGAGTGGTTTATATATTTTTAAAAGGAATTTTTTTTTTTTTTTGCAATATTATGTGTCTTTCTAATCTTTAGATAGATGATGATTCTTCTTCCTGAATTATGTTCCCATTTGAAAGTTCTCTGGGTGTTCAAGAAGTGCAAGTTGTATAGCTCTGAAACTGAGTGTAATTCTCACTTATTTTGGGGTGATACTGGTGAAGAAAAAGTACAAAATGATGCACTCCCAAAAAGGATACTTGCCATCCATCTGGAAGAAGACACGTACATATTTGAGGTGGAAGAAATTAGCACAAGGCAAACATGCAGGACAGTCTCTGAACCTTTGTGACGTATCAGAAAACTTTTATTTTGAAACTGATTCATCTATTGTATTGTCATCAACTGGCAAATTAGAAGAAGATTTACTGCCAGTACTGTACATAAACCAAGGCTGAAAGCAAAGGATTTAAGTTTTGGAAGATAAACTTCACTATAACTTTTATAATTGATATTAATAGTAGCTGTTAGTATTTATTAATCACATATTATTAATCGAGCTCTGTACCTACCAAAGCTCATTTAAATTTCTTTAAACTTCCCAAACTGTGATTTGAATTTTCCAAATGGGGAAAGAGAAGTGCAGAAAAATGAAGTAATTTGCCCCAGATCAGACAGTTACTAAATATTGGATTTGAGAACAGATTGGTCTTTGGTTTAATTTTATATATATGTACAGCTCTTACATGCTGGAAACCTCAGAAGGATTTCAGGATCTCCAGCTAATGGCCATAGATCTTTAAGTGCTTAATTGTACCACAGCTAATCTGATAAATTTTTTATTTCATGACAGTGCCCTAGTCTATTCTGGCAGCTGTAACCATGATAGACTCAGGGCTTTTAAACAGCAGAAATGTATTTCTCACAGTCTGGGACTGAAAGTCTGAGATGAAGGTTCCAGCATGGTCTGGTTCTGGTGAGAGCCTCCTTCCCAGTTGCAGACTTTGTTCTTGTATCTTCACAGAATGGAGAGCAAAGAGCAGAAGCAAGCTCTCTCGTGATTTGTTAGGACACTGGTCCTATCACGAGGGCTCACCCTCTGAGATCATCCAGTCCTAATTACCGCCAAAGACACTACCTCCTAGTACCATCACATCAGGAGGCAGGGTTTCAACATATGAATTTTGGGGAGCACAAACATTGTCCATAACATGTCCTTTATATCTTATATGTCTGTCCTTTGTATGTTATATTTACGTGAAAGCATTTTTACAAAAGGCAAACAGTTGAACTACTTCTGTGTCATTCTCGTCTTACATGCATTTCAATAAACCGAACAGGTGTTATTCTTCTTGCTTTAGACGTTTAGCCTTTTAGAAACCTTTATCTTACTTTAAATTCCTTTATCATAACTGTATATGTTTTTGACCACATACCTACACCTCTTAAGGATTGCAACACAAATTTTCTCTACTCCTACAGACATGACTATGATGTCACAGAGTAGTGGTTCTCAGGGGGGTGCAGTTTTGTTCTCCAAGGGACATTGGCTGTGTTTCCAGGTACTTCTGACTCAAATACATGGGGTGGTGTTTCTGGTATTTAGTGAGTAGAGATGGGGGATGCTATGCTGGTAATCATCCTATAAAACATAGGACAGCTCTTTACAAAGAAGTATTTGGCTCAGAACACCCGTGGTGCCCATATTGAGAATATTGGATTTAGATAATCTGTGAAATCTGTTCTAGCTCTTAAATTCTGTTATTCTTTCATTTTGACACTGAGATAAAAAAAAAATATTGAGTTTATCAAGCAAGTCTTGTCAACATTATGAAATATATACATGTATATATATAATAAGTCCTCATGCCTTCTTTTCTTTTAGAAAATCATCTTTTCAGGAATTGTTTTTATTTTTCTGGTGAGAATTTTCCTTTTCTTTTTTCCAGTATCCATTAGACATTGCAGGACATCTCTAATTCATTGTGTTGCAAAAAATCTTGAAACCCTTCCTAGACATACTACCTTCAGTCTTGTTTGAATGTTGGTGGATTGGTTAGGTGAATAAGAACAGACAAGAATAAGATCTTAAAGGCTGTGGAATAAAAAGTAAATTTTGTGCAGGAAGGAGTGAGGGATAACCAACACATGGATACCATTAAGTGCTGTTGATCTTTAAAGAAAAAAAAGAAAAGAAAATAGCAAACATATTGTGCTGGTTGAGAGCAATTGCATCTGAGTAGAAATCTTTAAGGTTGTTTAAGGACACAAAGAAATGGTATAGTGACATACTGTGCATTGGCTATGTTCACAACTGGGTCAGAAGATTGGATGTTATAATGATGCTTCATATAGTCCTGTGTGTCCTCTTTATGCGGTTATGACTGTGTCCTTGTGGTGTGAAAGGATCAAGCTTCTATAAGGTCTAGACAAAACATCTGCATACAGACTGGAGAACCCAAGCACGAAACATGCTCTAGGGTAAAATGTCAGCAAATGTTTTTGTGACTCACATCTCTTTCATTTTATAATGGAGTGGGAGCCATAACACACATGCCTGCCCCCTGCACTATCCCTCCCTCAGTTTGCCAAACCAATATGCAGCGTGTTATTACAATATCTGTAGTTCTTTCTACCAGGAAATGATTTCTTTTTAAATGGGGGGAAAAAAAAGTCAGGTTTTAGAGTAACAGCATCAGCAAATACATTAATTGGACCATTTCGTATTAGTAGTTATATATTTTTGGTCAAAAATAGGAGTACCTATGCAGTACATATTTTTAAAAAGTTTTTTTTTGTTTTTTTTCTATCCAATAAAAATTTTATAAATGTTTTTAATTAGAGCTTGATTTATATTCAGATTTTCAAAGCAAAATAATCTCTTTCATTATGGTTGGGTCTACATCTGTGTGAATTTAAGATTGTCATTTTAAAACAACTCTGGTCTGTTGTTTATCTTTTAAATCAATTTCTTTTTTTTTTTTTTTGGATATTTAAAGTTTTTTTTTGTTTTTTTTTTTTTTTTACAAATAGTTTATTGTCAAATTAGTTTCCACATAACACTCAGTGCTCATCCCCACAAGTGTCCTCCTCCATGCCCCTCTCCCCCTCCCCCCCACATCCATCAGTCCTCAGTTTTTGTCAGCATTCAAGAGTCTCTCATGGTTTGCCTCTCTCCCTTTCCCCCACCATTTCCGCCCTTCTTCTCTCCCTTGTTCCTCCGTCAAGTTCCTCCTAATCCTCCTATACGTGCAAACATATGATATTTGTCCTTCTCTGCCTGACTTATTTCCTCAGGAAACTAACAGTAGAACTCCCCTATGACCCAGCAATAGCACTGCTAGGAATTTACCCAAGGGATACAGAAATGCTGAGGCATAGGAGCACATGTACCCCAATGTTAAATCAGTTTCTTAAGTCATGATTTTTTTCCCTATAATTGTGACTTGCAGCAACCAAGAGCTGATAAATACTTCTTATGGGGCTATGTTTTGTGATAGATTTTAGGTTGGTTAGACATTCAGTCTCCTTTGTCTCTGTCTGGGCAGATGTCTCCTAAATCAATCATAGTGACCACCTACTACAAAATTACTGCTCCACTCATTACATCCATTACTCTTTAAAACTGGGATCTAAAAGGAAACTAATGAAAGCAAATCAAATGTGATTTCCCTGTCAATTTGTTAGCAGAAAAACTGGAATCCTCTCTGAAAGACTTTGCTTTTCACGGCAGAAATGGAACACTGTGACGGATTTCATTTCCTGTCTTGAGATTTTGTTATTCTACCCAGGGGGCCAAGTGGAAATTAGCAAAATTTGAAACAAGGGTAGTTGGTAGCAACCACATTTTTTCTCAGTAGGGAATAGCTAATGTTTTTAACATTTTGTGAAGATAGATGGTAGCACTACCTCATCCTTTGCACGCTGTCCTTCCGTAATCCATGCCTCCTTGCCACAGGTGTTACCATCCCCCTACCTATTGCTGCTTCTATTTCTGTATCTACACATACAAATGTATATGTGTGTGTATGAGTATGTATATGTGCATGTTTGTATATTACATGAGTTCCATTTCATTAATTGTGTGATAGTTTTTCTTATTTATGTGACAAATTGTAAGCATATACTTTTGTTTAACATTAGGTTTTCAACACCTACTTGTAAATCAAGAATTTTATCAAATAGGTTTAAGGGTTTAGAGTAGTTGACGGTTTTCATTTCTGTAATTTTCTCACTTTACGTGAACAATTTAAAATGTCGACATCACAGGCAGGAATAGATTTTAGAATAATCCAACACTTAATTTCTGCTCATTCATTTAAGGTAATGAGGTAGCATACTTTACTTTGATAGAAGTGTATGACAGTAAATAAATTTTGTTGCCTCTACTTAGAAATCAATTTTGTGTTCTTCAAAAGCAGCATTTTATTCTTGGAAACATTTTGTGCTATTGCCATTATTGTAATGAGGAGTTAACTAACTTGAAAAGAAAGATGATAGTGACGGAGACATTACGATAGGAAGAAGAATAAAACTTCATTTAAATTTCCATTTTAACTTTGTCATAGCTAATCTCATTAGACCGTCTTTTGTTATCATTATCTCTTATATTGAGTTAAGCTTCAACATCTCTATCCCAAATAAACCATAAAAGTATACTCTCTGTAAGGCTCCAGAATAAATAATTTTATGTTGCTGAAGTCTTATTTTCAGCATTAAAGATCTTTAAAATTACCCCCAATTGAGTGTGATACATTGGAATCCAGTTTTAAT